CAAGAGCGGGGGGGGGGGGGATTTAAATCCCCGCTTCATTTGCAATTGCGATGTGTCTAATTTGCACCCCTTTTACAGAAAAGGGATGCAGTCTAGACACAGCCAAGGCGTTTTAAGTCTCGGCTTGACAAAGCCCTGGCTGGGTTGATTTAGTTGGGATTGGTCCTGCCTAGAGCAGGGGTCTGGACTTGACCTTCTGAGGTCTCTTCCAGCTCTATGGTTCTATGTGTCTATCATGTGCCATGTTTCACACCAGGAGGCCCCCCCTACGCGTTCCGCAGAGGGGTGGCCCACACGGTAGAGGACTGACACACCAGGGAGGGATTGTGCCAAGGATGAAGCATCAAGCACAGCTGGTCTGTAGGATGCAAGCAACGTGCCAAGCTAGCGCAGGGCCCCGCCACCCAGAATGGCTAAGGCAAAACCAGAGGCCGCATTCTACCACCTGGTGGCACATCTAGGGAATGTCTTTGACGACGGCATGGGAACAATCCTACTCTGTTGTCCATGGCCTGCTTGTGGGTATCCTCGCTTGGCTCAAAAGCAAAAAGCACGAAGAGAAATTAATCACAGCCATGAGTTTATTGACACCAGTCCAGGGATTGCCACACTACAGCCGGAAAGTGACACATTGTTGGCAAGGGGCCTCGTCCCAAAGCCACGAGGGTTCAAAGAACTGGCATGATTCTGGCGCTGCACAGCACAACGGACCAGCGGCTAGGTCTCTGGTGGGAACAGGCCCTGTATCCCACGGGTCACACAACAGCCTTCGTTTCTGTACTGCTGCATGTGAAGGTATTAGCTCAGGGCCCAGCCTGCCTGCGGTGCACGGGGAATGGCTGCAAAGGCATAAGCAGCTGAGATCATGGATAGAGAGCTGCACACGGCCCTAAGAAGCCCATTTCAACTTGCAGGACCATCTCTCCCCACTTGACAGGCAATGCCAATACCGACTCTGCAGCATGCAATAGTGGTGATGTCTCAGGATGTGAGGGGGGCAGGGCAAGCCAGGACTCAGAGGCCTTTTCAGAGAACACGGATGGGAAGGTACCCCTGATGCAAGAGCTGGGAGAGGTATTATTTAAACAGGGAGGTCCCCTTTAGTTTAGGAAGCAGCTTCTCAAAGGGTCAGACACTGACCCTACTGACATGGCGTGGAGTTGCAAAGGACAAGCCATGTCTTAACAATCAGGTCCAGGGTGTTTTAAATAAGGCACCCAAACCACAGATCCATGTCTGCATGGCAAAAGGGGCTTTTTACTGACACACACACACATGCTGCGTAGACTCAAGTGTATGAACTCATGTGGGATGCTCAGTCTCAGCTCAGGATGAAACAATTAATGCTGAAAGCTGTGACAGCGTGTTGAACCGGCATCTCTGCGGGAAAGGTTAATATGCACCACTCAGATGCTCCCTCTGCCCCAGGCTTCCCTCTTGCCTATGGTGAGTCATAACAGTCTGTGGGCAAGGTTCCTCTGGAAGGGCTAGGGAAACGCAAGAAGCTGTATAAATAATTCACTGTTCCAGGGTCTGGAGAGAGGAGACTAAATCCCAAGAAAACACGTTAGCAATAGCGTGTGAAATCCAAGTAGATCTGCTGGCTGGGGGAGGGGCTGTCACTCCTTGAACTTCCACTCCTGCCGGCACATGGGACAGTGCTGCTGGACCTGCTGGGAATTCAGCCACTTGAGAATGCAGTGCATGTGGAAGCAGTGGGAGCACTGGCCCCACACCAGTGGGCAGTCGTCTCCAGGCACCTTACCTGTAAAAGGACAAAACTCATGAGAGAGCGAGAAGGGCGCCCCGGGGTGAAATCCGGCCGGGGGCCGAGGGCCTGGGCTACTCACAGTCTGGGCAGCAGCCATTGAAGGCCATCCGGCAGATGCCACAGTTCTCATCATTGGCCACCCAGAGCCAAGAGGCTACCCCATTCCAGCTCTTTATCTTCACCTTCATCCTGCTGGCTTCTGCCTCCGGGGGTCAAGTCAGCACCTGGCATGAGAAGCAGCTACTCAGACTGAATTTTATCATTAACCCTTTAGAACATCAGAGCGGCCAGACTGGGTCCATCCAATCCAGCATCCTGTCTTCACTGACAGGAGCCAATGCCAGGTGCTCCAGAGGGAATTGACAGAGCAGGGAATCATCATGTGGTCCCTCCTGTCGCCCATTCCCAGCTTCTGGCAGAGGCCAGGGACACCAGCCCTGCCCATCTTGTCTCTTAGCCACTGATGGACCCTAACCTCCATGAATTTATCTAGCTCTTTTTTGACCCTGTTAAAAGTCTTGGTCTTTACAACATCCTCTGGCAAGGAGTTCCACGAGTTGACTGTGGCTACGTCTATCCTGCGCAAGAAAATATGCAAATGAGGCAAAGCGGTGAATATCGCTATGCCTCATTTGCATACTTAATAAGCCACCATTTTTGCGCAAAAGCCATTCTTCCTGAAAAAAGAGCTGCGCAAAATGGCGGCTCATTAAGTGTGCAAATGAGGTGCAGCGATGTTCACCGCTTTGCCTCATTTGCATATTTTCTTGCACAAGACAGCACAGCATAGACGTAGCTGTTCTTGCGCAAGAATCCACAGAGCATACACACTGCCCGCCCGCTCTTGCGCAAGGAAATTTACAGTACAGCGTGGTAAGAGACGGCTTCTTGCGCAAGAATCCACAGAGCATACACACTGCCCGCCCGCTCTTGCGCAAGGAAATTTACAGTACAGCGTGGTAAGAGACGGCTTCTTGCGCAAGAATCCACAGAGCATACACACTGCCCGCCCGCTCTTGCGCAAGGAAATTTACAGTACAGCGTGGTAAGAGACGGCTTCTTGCGCAAGAATATCTTGCGCAAGGTTTCTTGTACAAGAAACCTTGCGCAAGATATTCTTGCGCAAGAAGCCTCCAGTGTAGACATAGCCTGTGTGTTTTGTGAAGAAAAACTTCCTTTGGCTTGTTGTAAACCTGCTGCCTATTAACTTCATTGAGTGACCCCCTAGTTGTGTTAAGAGGAGTAAATCATAGGTTGGTTCCCTTGCTGAAACAGCTTATATCCCCAGGGGCCATGCAATCTCCTTTGGCTGTCAGCACTGCTTCCTCCCCTGCGGCAGTTCAAAGTGGGATGTAGATGGGACTGTCCCTTCCTCCATAGCTCAGTCATTACTATAGAAACTCTGCCATAGGGAGCCTCTCATCTGAAATCTTCTAGGTTGGGCTTAGTGACCCTGCCTCATCACTGGGCACATCAGGAACCGTAGGTGCCCTTGTGTTTCCGGGCATGGAATGAAAATGGATCGCGACTCCTATTAGCATTCGGCACTTGATTACTGCAGACCAGGGCTGAGACCGGACGGCTTCCCTGCTCCCCACGGGAAAGGTACTGGCACACACCTAACGCACCGCAGCCCCGAGAGCGCCACACGACCCGGAACGCAACACTGCACAGCTGCTGGGCGCACTGCACAAAGCCCCCCACCTTCAGAATCTCTATGGGGCTCCACGATCTCTGTCTGCTTCACCACCCTGAGAGAGTTCTGCCCACCCCCCTCTCTTTGCAGCCCGGGAGCCCCCCCCC